AATTTTATCCAACGGCTGTTTCCAGTCAATCATTTTTTGAGAAACTTCTTACACTTCGACCGCTAAGGCAAGGATCCCTCGTACATTTTACCTTGAAATTTACAAACCGTATACTGCGGAACTTGCAAAAGAGAAATGATGTCGCTACTCCATTATTGATATTAGCACTCAACTCAATAATGTCATTAGAAGCTTGAATGGAACCCTTTTTTTAGAAGCAAAAAAATTCAATTTCATTAATACTCAAAATAGAATAACTAAATCACTGTTTTTGCACTACATGACATGAAATTATGTAAATTACATATTATTTAAAAAAAGTATTTGACAATACTAATAGATAATCTATTGATAACATTTGGTTCTTTGAATAATATAGACAGTAAAGAAAACTCTTTAAACTTTTCAAATCTAAACTAGACAAGAACTGGTTGCAATGCACGCATACAAATGTGTTTAAGCCACCATGAATCAACAGAAAGATGTGTTACACTATCAAAGTATTGGTGGAAGATATAAAACCGTCAATTAAAGTCAATCTTTTCTATTTAGCTAAAAATAATCACTAATCCTTTATTGAAATGGAGAAAAACCACTATAAAGATGAATAACATACATTTGACAAACGACTATATAAATCTGAATACAATAACTAGATGTATAGATATAAAAACTAATATAATATAAAACTATGAAAAAGAAAAAGGAAAAGGTTGTCCTGACCGTAGCTAAAAAACTGCTTTATGGGAGGCTGTGTTTTGTTTAAGATTTTTTGTTTGAAAGAAAAGGAGAGATGGTGCGTACAGGTTAAATGAAACTATTAAGGAAATGTTGATTTAATTGGTTAGATAGTACAAAACCAAAGTGATATTCAAACTTCAATTGTTTTTATAATTTGATCACCAAAATTATTTTTTAATTTGTAATGAAGTTGAACGATCTCGTTGATCAACATCCGAACACGCATGATGGTGAAAAGATTGAAAAACTCAAATCTAAATTAAATTATCAAACCCAAAATCTTTGCTTATTCTCCTGCCTAATTTCAATGAAAAAAATATGTTTTTTTTTCCTAACAAGTCTAAAATCATTGCACAATTTCTATAATTTTAATAAAGATCTTTTTTTTTCTTTCCTAACAAATATAAAATCTTTGTCCAAATAAGGAAAAAAATAAGTGACAAAGTTGATTTTTTTTTTTTTTTTGGTTCGAAGAGAGAGGGCTTTGGAGTCGTTTGATAGTGATTGGTGTTGGGATTTAATGTCGTTGGCTGAAGAAGATGGTGGCTATGAGAATTGTAGTGGTCCAAGTTGGGTCTTGATCGAAAGAGAGAGATGACAAAGAGAGCTATGGCTGATGTTGGGTTTGATGAGATAGGGATGATTGTGGTTGGTGTTGGGTATGATTGGAGGAGAGGTAAGGTCGATAGGGTTGCAATGGCTAGTTGGTCTCATTGTTGTTTGGTTAGAGAAGATGGTGGCTCACTTGGGTCTTGATTGGAGGAGAGGGATGGTAGAGAAAGTTGTGGCTAGCATTGGGTTTGATTGAAAAAGAGGGATAGTGTGGCAAGAGAGTTTGAGAAGATGATAGCTATCATGGTAGGGGTGGTTGTGACATGAGCATTTGAGAATATAGGAAAATTTGTTTTTAGGTCTTAGTTTTGTTTTAATTTACGGTGTGAGTAATTTGAAATTTCACTTTAATCAGTTGGTTGGCAAAAATTAAAGATAATTGGATAAATGAATAAATGTGTCTTTTATTTATTAGGTTATATTACCATCATGTGTGAAAAGTGTATTCAAATGTTGATTAATAAAATCGTTTGATTTGATTACAAATCAAAAAATAATTTTGATACTTAAGTTAAAAAATTAAAATTTGGATGTAAGTCTTTATTTGACCGACAATAGATGATATTATCAAACTAATTAGTCTAAATACTATCATAAAAATATGCAGCAACATTACCATAACGGAAAAAAAAAAAAACTTAACTAAATTAAAAATTAATATTGGATGAAAATGGGTTTGATTCCAGGTCACATGACATCCTTGTCAAATATTACTAGCAAGGCTAGGTGCGTAGTACTCACAAATATATTCATATACTTTAAATTGTAGTTTAATTAAGAGCATTAAAAAAACCATTTTTAAACTATTATTAAAAAGTTAAACTTTAATTATTCTATAAATTTTTAAAAAGAAGATTCATAATAAAATAAAAAATATCTAACATTTGCATACAATTGCAATTGAATTCATAAAATTAAGAAAAATGGTTTCAGTAAATTGGATTGGGTATAATTTAGAATTTAAAAAGTTTTGACGAAAAGCAAATTTGATTTTTCAAAAGTTTGAACCGGGGTAATACATAGTTGTTAGATCCGATCCAAAACCTAACTCGGGCTTGACTTGGCCAAGATCCGAGGTTTCTGGATCTTGGATGGACCCACCGGGTTAGCTAGTTAATTTGTTTGATGCGTGTGTGATAAAAGCACGTTTATATGCATGTGTATTTGTATCATGACATGGATTTTTTACTTTTTCTTTTTCTTTTTGGTTATCTGACATGACTAGAGTACGGCATACAACTCAAGCAAATTTTTTTTCTTTTAAATCTTTTTTTTCAAGGAACTGGGTCGGGATCAGATTTTATCGGATTAGTCAGGTTTTGATCGGGTGGCTCGATTTTGATTGGGTCAACTCAGGTTAGCCTCTAAATCGTTGCTTTTTTTCATCAAGCTATCGAGCTGATTCCAGTTTAAACTATGGGGTAATATGCAATAGTCTAAAACACTATGGCCAATCAGTAACTATATCGAAATGAAAGGCAAACTGTGTACTTGCGCTTTAGTTTTTAGAATTCAACTTTAATTAACCAATACTCTCTTCGTACTAAAATAATTATCTATTTATTTATTTATATATATTTTAAAATATTTATTTGGTCAAAGTTTAAAGTAGTGTATTTTTTTTTTTTTAAATGTCTCTAATTAAAATTAATTTTGTAAAAAACTGTCCAAATACATATTTTTATGGTTAATGCTTTTATGAAGCTTAATTTAGGCAACTTTACCAAAAGTAGGTAACAGGTGGACCGAAGATCATTAAATTGATTTGCAATGTTTTACTTAAAGATGGACAGTTTTTGTTGAAATGGAAAATGTAGTTGTGACTTGCAAAATAAAGCCACTAAATTTCAAAAATATTTTTAATTCTTCATTTGTTTTTTTTTTTTAAAAAAAGGGGGGCTAATTTGTGCAGTTAAATCTTGTAAAGAATTCATTTTTGGCTTGGCATGTCTTAAGAAGTTATAAACGTAGAAGGTCTCTTTTATTTTATCCCACCAAGAACTTTGAATTTAGAGTGTGATTGGAAAAAAAAATTACTTGGTAACTTCATCTTGGGACTAATTTTTTTTGGCTTAAACCTTAAATTTGGAAGGACAAAAATCTTAACTCGCCACTTTAATTTTGGGACAATTTTTTGGGTTAAAATTTTGTGAAAAATTGAAAAAAGTTTAATAATCTCTAGATTTTTCTAAAATTTTTGGGATCTAAAATTTACGACAGATGAAAATTTTAATTTACTATCTTAATTTTCAGCCTAAAATCTTGTGAGGACTTTACACAGCATATCAAGGAAGAAAATATTTTTTTAATATGTTAATTTTTTTCATTATTTTTTTAAAAAATTTGATAGTTAATTAAGTTAATAATTTTTCTTTGATTTACCATTTTAATTTTGAATATATTTTCTTCTTATATTAACATTGGTTTCATGTCATGTAATATTAAATTTGATAACTAATAATTTTAAAAGAAAAAATATTTTTTTAAAAATACTAATAAATGTCTTGATATGATATAATAATTAATAAATTTTTAATAAAAAATAAAAAATAACAATTTCTTTGGATAGAAATAAATATTATTTATTGTATATTTAAACATTCAAATATTCGTATCCTGCATGTTTAAATGATAGTAGCTTTTAATTGTAATATCGCATCAAAAGGTAACGACGCAGTGCTGCAGTTACACAGGCATCGGAAAAATTACATCCACTAAAGGAGAGTAAAAACCGAAACAACATGTTAACGATTTAATGAGAAGTTTTGAAACGATTAGGACTTAATTGATAAAATTATAAGTTCGATACTCAATTGAAAATGAATATATAGATTTAAGAATAAATTGATGCTTTCTCATTTCATCACATACAAGTATATTTCATACATGTAAATAAATGTGAGATCACTGACGTGCATTTTTTTTACTTCTGTTATTCTGTAAAGAGAATTTATTAGACTTCTCACAGATATTAAAAAAATATTAAATATCATGTAAATTCATACACTCTTTATTATATTTACTATAATTATTATTTAAAATTAATTACAGTTAAAAAATGTGAATTCAATTTAAAAAATAATAGTAAAATTCTATAGTTTTTTTTATTTATGGACAAGAGATATATATTTGGGAAATGTGCCTAGGGAAAGAAGAGCGTCTTCTATTTTTAAATCTTGTCGGTCCGGACAGGAAGTAGATCAAAATATATTCAAGACAGACCACAAGAAAAGTGGAAGAATGATTAAAAAGAAGACAATCCACATGGATGTAATGAAAGTGAGGGGCCTACGACAATTAGCTAGCCACGTAGAGTCTCCTTCAAACGAACTCTATTTTCTAAGTGATGAATTGTGGTTGTTGAACTTTCGTCAATTTCTGCGACCTATCAATATGATAAAGCAGCGCACGAAATTTGAACATCACCTATAGGACAACTCTCTGTACTTTCTGCTGCCTTCACTGCACCAAACGACGACGCTTTTCAATAAAGAATGAAACTACTGCAATTAAAGCGGACTGATAAACAAAACATCGTTCACATTTCTGCTCTGAATGGGTTATAAGTCAATCTCTTCCTAGCAAATCTTCTATACCACCTCTCTTTTTCGCTCTTTGTGTGACAAAACCTTCAATTCAAGAGAACAATGCCTTCAAAGTCACCGGACCACCTACCATGGAGGATCAAGCTCTTCGTCTCCACTCTCTCTTACGCTGTGGATTTCACTCGCCGCTCTGATGGTTCTATCAATCGCCGCCTCATGAGCTGGTTCGACCCAAGAACCTCTCCCTCGCCCAGCAAGCCCATTAATGGAGGCAAATCCATGGATATCACTGTGGACAAAACTCGAAACATTTGGTTCCGCCTCTATAATCCTACCACCACTACCACAACCACCGCTGATGACAACGACATGCCAGTTATTTTCTACTTCCACGGTGGTGGGTTTTCATACTTTGCGCCCAGTTCAAAACCCTTTGATGATTTTTGCTATAACCTTGCCCGCGAATTGCAGGCAGTCATCATCTCTGTCAACTACAGGCTGGCTCCAGAGTATCGATATCCATGTCAATACGAAGATTGTTTGGATGCTATGAAATTTATTGATGACACAAAACTTGAAGAAATTCCAAGTGAAGCCAATCTGAGACAGTGTTTCCTTGCTGGAGACAGTGCAGGCGGCAATTTGGCTCATCATGTTGCCGTAAGAGCTAGTGAATATGAGTTTTCCAATATAAAACTCATAGGGTTTATGGCCATACAACCATATTTTGGAGGGGAAGAACGCACTGAATCCGAGATTAAGCTTGAAGGAGCCCCATTTATTACAACAAAGCGTACAGACTTGGTATGGAGAACGTTTTTGCCAGAGGGGTCAAACCGTGACCATCAAGCGTCTAACGTTTTTGGTCCAAACGCGGTTGACATTTCAAGGCTCGACAGGTTTCCCCCAACAATTGTCTTTGTTGGAGGATTCGATCCTCTTCAAGATTGGCAAAAGTCGTACTACGAGGGGTTGAAGAAATCTGGAAAAGAAGCGTTTCTGATTGAGTATCCCAATGCAATCCATTCGTTTTATGCTTTTCCTGAGCTGCCTGAATTTTCCTTGTTCATGAAGGAGGTGAAGGGTTTTATGCAAAACAGAATCCATGGCGCAAATTAATAATGTAACTTAATTAAGAGGGTGATAATTATGGGTCCACTGTAGGTAGAGGGGAGACTCAGGTCGATGGTTATGGAGGGGCTCGTTCATGTGGACAATCCAAGATAAGGATAATTATCCTTTTTTTTAATAATATAATTATCCTCCATATTAAATAATAATATATTTATGTGTAGTGAGGATATGAAAAGTGGATGAACATGATGATGGATATTCATTATTTTATAACACTCCCTCTTAAATGTTCATTGTACGAGTAATATGTCTCATTAAAACCTTACTAGGAAAAAACCCAAGTGGGAAAAAAATCCTAGTGAAGGAAAAAAAGTACAATATTCCTCGCACACATTAATCCCCATTTTGGTCTCCCCTGTTGAAGGCATTATTTAAGATCTCTAAAACACTCGCATTTCAATCTTGTGAATCATCTTTTTCAAAAGTTATGGTAGGTAACGCTTTAGTGAACAAATCTACGGATTGTCACTTTGATGTATTCTTCCTTTAATGGAACTATGCAAGCAATATTATCCTCATATGATATTGTTGGAACTTCTTTTGCTAATAGATAAACCGTATGTCTCTGGATATGATGGATCGTTGATCTTAGCTAAACACATTCTCGACTTGCCTTGTAAATTGATATTTTTGCATGATTTGAAGATGTGGTAGTCGTAGTTTGCTTCCTAGAATGCCAAGATATAGCCGTATCTCGATATGTAAATATATAACTAGTTGTGATCGAGCTTTGTGTAGATTAGATAAATAACTCCGTATCCGCGTAGCTAATTAATCTTATCTTTGATTTATTGAAGTAATATAAGCCCATATCAATTATTCCTCGAAGATAACGTAGTATATATTTAATTTTATTTCAATATCTCTATATTGAAACGGAACTATGACTTGCTAACAAATTTATAGAAAAGACTATATCGAGTCGAGTATTATTAGCAAGATACATCAATGCACCAGTTGCACTAAAATATGGTACTTCGGGACCATGTAGTTCTTCGTTATCTTCTCGAGGTCGAAAAGGATCTTTTTGGATATCAAGTGAATGAACTACCATTGGGCTAGTCAATGAATGATCTTTATATAGAATCATTGTAGAACCTTTTTCGATATAAATTGATCGATGAATGAAAAACTCATTCTTTGAGTGCTCGAACTGCGAGTTGAGATAACATTTTGTTTTCTCAAGATATTCACATCAAATTCTCTTTTTAGGTAACTTATGACATTTGGAATCTCTTCGGGAGTTCCAATAATATTTAAGTTATCAATATATATAACAAACCCCTTTTGAAATAAAAACATATGAACAAATATGATTTTTTTTATAACTTTCTTTCAACAAATAATCATTGAAGTGATTATATCACATGCACATGGGTTAGTAATAAAAAATATATATAAAAATAAAATATAAAGAGTATAAATTGAATTTCTAAAAACTAAAATAATAAAACAAATACTAATAATTCTAATAGAGATATCTATAATTTAATTGAATTCTTTTCTTGAGAATATGTATTATATGCTTCGGCATGTTAAGTCCTTCTAGGACTTTCATACCGATATCATTTCAAATGAAAAAATAACCGTGATCATATTCATTAAATGCATGCATATGAATTTTTTTCATATATTTTTCCAGAGCTAATGAGATAACAAAAGACAGTTGCATCTATTATAAGAGAATATGTCTCCTTATAGTCAATCTTAGTTCTTTAAGAAAATTTTTGTGTTAAAAGTTTTTCTTTGTATCTTACAATCTCACTTATTTTATTTTCACATAAATACATATTTGGATCCCACTAGCTTAACATCTTCATGTATTTTAGCTATGAGTTCAAAAAACTATTTTATTATAAGAGAATATAATTTCGCATGGATTGCTTTTTTCATTTAGGCCAATCATCTTTATGTTGACATTCTTCAATAATTTAGACTCATGATCCTTATTTTCATTCAATATATCAATTGAAACATTATATACAAAAAATATTTCTTTTCGGTCCTTATTTTCTCCCCGTATTGACATAATTTATCAAAATCTCTTGATTTCTCTCAAGCATTTGGACTTCTTCGCAAGCATATTATCGAAATATCTTAGACCATTTTATAAATATTGTTATCTTTTATATTTTCATCTTGTCCTTTTCCTTTAAGGATTTTTTTGTCTTTAGAACCGATCGATCTTTCACGCTTCGGGCGTGCTTTAGATTCATTAGCTATAACATTAATAGACTATCCTTCTAGGATATCAATTTTAATATGAGCATTCTCAACGAGGACATGCATTATAGTTACTCATTTAGGATCCGAGAATGCATCTAGCAATCGGTTTGTAATACCTTAAAAATGAATTATCTTTTGAACTTCGGTTCGCATTATTTTGTATGAGATTCAATATGATATAAAGATAGAGTACTCTATATAATTTTTTTTAACATTTTCAACCGCTTATTTTGCTTATTCTCTCCTCCTAATGTTGAAAAAACTATTTTATCAAAATGACAAGTCGATAGATCGGGCCGTAAAAATACCTCTTATTCATGAATCAAGAGATCGAAGAGGATTCAAATTCAACATATATTCCCAATCTCCTTTAGGTGTCCATTTTATTTCGTTATGGAGGAGTACTACGGATATGTACTCGCAATATCAAAAATTCTTAAATAAGAAATATTTGACTCATAACCATAAATCAATCGAAGATGAGAGAATTTCGATAACTTATGGGTCCGATACGAATAAGTGTTGCTGCATGAAAGATTGCATGTCCCCCAACATAAACAGGGAGTTTTATTTTTAAAGAATGGTTTAACTATCAATTGGACTCTTTTGATAAATAATTTTGCTAAACCTTTCGAGTATGAACATGAGCAACAAGATGTTCAACCTTTATTCTAATAGCCAATCAATAATAATTTAATACTTGAGAAATAAATTCACCAAGCATAATCAAGGTGACTTACTTTAATGGCATAATTTAAAAATTATGCTCAAAATCAAATTATTTGCTAACAATATCGAAAACGTTAGGTTTCGAGTAGATAATAAGCATATATGTGACCATTTTGTGGATGCATTTATCAAAATCGTAAAATATTTAAATGGTCCATATTGTGGATGAATTGATCCATATATATTACCTTGAATATATTCTAAAAATACCGAAGAGTTAATCTCAATTTTACTTGGTGATGGCTTAATCATCAATTTGCCTTGGCAACATGCGAGAATATGAAAGTTCATTAAATTGAAGAATCTTCTAGCTTTTCAATAGATATTCATATAAATTTTTTAATAATTTTTTTTGCATCATGAAAGACCCAAGATAACACAACTGATCATTTCACATAGTAAAAGTATTTGAATTAGTAAACTTCTGGTTTACTACAATATTTGTTTCAATCATTTCAATATTTGTAATAAAGACTAGAAAAGAAAACAAATAAATTTTTTTAATAGATATTTTCTATCCGATATAATAATTATAACATATAAGTATTCACATTTGCTATCTTGATATGATATCAATTCAGATAAATATCTTTGAAACTCAATAAATTTTTATAAGACTTTGAAGAGTATCATTCATAATAAATTTATCCTTTTAGCTAATAACATATTTGCTCTTCTAGGCCTTTAAATTAGTCACTTCAAGTAATAATATATCGACTCTTCTAGAGCCTTTAAACACTTTCTCTTCAAGTAATAATTTATTCAATCTTCTAGAGCTTCAAAAATTTATCTCTTCAAGTCGTGATATAATCGCTTTTCTAGAGTCTTCAAAATTTATCTATTTAGATAATAATATAGTCGCTCTTCTAGAACTTTCTATTAGATTGATATTATCATATATAATATTAACATAAAATAAATAATCAAATAAATCAATATATGCCTCATAAACATAAACAAATAAATAAATAGTAAAATAAATTTGTAACCATCAATATACGACATAAATTATAAGAAATATAAAACATTTTATTTATAAATAGAAAAATTAACACGTAATTAATTTTAATTACTATTATTTTGGTATATAAAAGCGGCCTTCATATTTTACTTTTTATTTTTCAATAAGGCTTGACAACCCTCAATGAGGTGCTTTGGTATACGACAAGTACACGATCAATATTCATTCATTCCATATCTATATTATTTATTTTTTAGAATACCGACTTTATCTATTTTTATTTCTTTTTTGTCATAGTTATCCACTTTTGGTGGTGAGATGTAATATTATGGTCATTACGATTATAATGATAATTATTTCAATCATATCCATAGCTATGACCACATCTTCATCCATGTCTAAAATTATTATAAATTGTTACATTCACTTTAGGGAATGGAGTAGATCTAATTGGATGAGATTTATTCTTTTTCATTTTATTTAGCCACTAACAAGTATAAAATCGATCCAAAATATTTCTTAAACTCTTTTTTTTATATGCTATTGCAAGAGCATATTCAAGACATAGAAAGTAGAGAATATTTTTTCAAAATCAAGCACTCATAATTAATGATTCTTATTCAAAGTATCAAGAGTCACCAAATCAAGTTTATGAGGTTTGATATGATAAAAATTCTATAATACAATATATAATAATAATAATAGAAAATAAGAACAAATATAATAATAAAATTAAAGCTTTTTAAATAACATATATTAGATCATTAGTAGATCATTTAAGTTTTTCAAATATCATGTATCAATAGATTTAAAGTATATGAATAAATTAGATACATACCTCTTAATGATCTAAATAATTTAGATCTTTTCATAGAGCACTTGTGTAGAAGAAATCCAATTGTTGAAGCAACTGATTAAATCTTTTGGTAAATACATACCTCATGGTCTATTGTCTCAATTGGTTAGAGCTTCGTGCCGATAACGTGTTATAAAATAAATAGAAATAATAGGAGAATTGAAGGAAAGGATGACAAGAAAATGAAATCACTATAATGTGGATACAAATGAT